AGAGCTGAGAATGCAAGCAGACTGCAATTGTCAGGATAGAAACCAGGAAAGAAAGAATTACAGAAGGGTGTGGGGAGAGAACCCTAATTATAGACTCACCTAACAAAGCTTAAAACCAAATTTAAAATGATCAGACATTTCCAAGTGTAACTTACCAACGTCTACACAAAATATTCCAGAATATTTACAAAAACACAAAGATGTGCAGAACCCATCAAAGAAAATTTACAATGTGTGCCAACCAATCAATTTACCAGATTTGCCAAAAGAAATAATAATACATACAGAGAATAATCAATCATGGAAACCCAGCAAGAACTGACATAGATGTTAGCATTAGTAGATAGTGACATCAAACAGAAATTATAAGTGGATTTCATAGGCTTAAAACATTAACTGAGATGAGATTTTTTCACATGAGAAATATTTTGTGTAAAGACAACTGAATTTATAGAGATGAGAAGTCGAATGGCTGATAGAAAATACACTGAATAGAATTAAAGACAGATTTAATAGCACAGAAAAAGTGATTAGTGAATATAAAGACCGACTGGAAACTACTTAAAATTAAAGATAAATAGAACAAATAAAAATGGAAAAAAAAATCAACGAACCATGTAGCACCTTCAAGGATCTTTGTAAACATACAAATAAAGTCTTCAAAGGAGAGGAGAGGGAGTAAGATATTTCAAGAAATGTTAGCTAGAAAATCCTCAATTTTAATTAAAACTAGAAACCCACAGACCCAAGAAGTTCAATGAACCTCAAACATATAAAAAATGAAAAAAAATCACAATCTAATTTATCTAAACCAGCAATAAAGTGAAAATCTTCAAAGCAACCAGAGACAAAAATGACATAACATACAGAATAAAACTATAAGTGTATCCACAGATTTATACTTGGAAACAATACAAACAAGAAGAGAGTAGAATAATATCTTTAAAAGTCTGAAAAACAAAGCTAGAATGCTCTATACCAAGAGCAATTTTTTTTTCAAAAAATGAAGGCAAAATAGAATTTTTCAAAGTACATAAACAAAAGAATTCATCTTGCACAGATCCATATTTTCAAAAGTGTTAAGGATAGTCCTTTAATGCAAATAAAATTAATACCAAATGAAAACACAGACTTTTCATCTACAAAGACATAGATCATCAGAAATGGTAACTACCTGGAGAAGCAGTTATAACAAACACAGATTTCCAGATTAGAATGTGAAGAGCTCAGGGCAGAGGACAGAGATGTTCTCCAAGGTTTGGGCCATTGTGGATAAAGTTTGATTCATTTGAGCATTCTTGAACAGCTGCTTTGAAATTCTTATGCATGTCTTTTTATGAATTTAGTATGTAAATCTCTCGGGTTATGGAAAGCATTATTTTTAGTAAACTGTAAAATCTTTCTGCTCTGAATTTACGTTGACCCCTTCCTGGTAATGAAAGATTCATCCCTTCTTGAACCTCCTCCTTTTAATCAATAATTCTGGGAACGAGATGCAATGGCCTAAGGTCATAGATCATAAACAAAAGCAACTCTTTCTTATAATACTGCAACATCAAACTTGGAACTGACACTCCCCTTGTTTCTTTCCTTTGTGAAACCCTTCCCGGTATACTCAGGGGCCATTTCCTTTTGTATTCTCCCTGTTTTACCTGGGATAATGAACCTCGTTCCCTTGCAAAAATAATTTAAAACAAAATTAGAAAAATCTTTAAATTTTCTGATGTGAAAATATAATAGAAGAATCATCACTTGAGTAAATCATAATAATTTAATATCTGCTTGTAGATAATTCTGTTATGATCAGTGAAGCGAGTTTAGTTAAAATGGGAATTTTTCTTGTACAACTTTCTCAAGGGTGGAGACACTCTGTATCCACTTAGGAGATTATCTGTAATTTATGCTGACACAGCTGAAACCTTCTTAAATTTATCAATTACATCCTGCGCACTTGTCACTGGACCCAATCTGCTTTGCAATTTGAGTTCCACTATCTTTAAATTTCATGGATACCTGGCTCTCTTTTTTTTTTCAACTCTCAAATGTACTATTTAGGGGCTGGGGAAGTAGCTCAGCAGAAGAGCGCTTGCAAGCGCTTACAAGCATGAAGTCCTCAGTTCAATCCCTAGTAACACAAAAAATAAAAATAGAAAGTACTACTTAGGATTAAATTCCTGTTTCACAGGTTATGTCAGTAATTGCTTAGTGTTCTGTATAGTCCTATCATTTAGTCAAATTTTATATGTATATTTTGCTTTGTTAATACCATTTTTTAATGCACACTGGTACCTCGGTTCATGAACTTAATTAGTTCCATGTTCATGAACCAAGGTATTACTGTATTTAATTCATTTTGCCATACTGGGGATTGAACCCAGGGCCTTCTCACTGCTACATTCCCAGTTATATTTATTATTTTGAGATGGAGTCTCCCTACATTGGTAAGTTGTCCAGGATGGGCTGGAACTTGAAATCCTCCCGTCTCAGCCTCCAGTGTTTTGGGAGTTTAGGCATGCAACACCACACATTGCTAATATCAAGTATTTTTACAGTTTTAAGTAACACATATCATCTGATGACTCTCAAATATATATGTCCACAAAACTTCCAGGGAATACATACAATAACTTCTTGCATGTCTTTAAAATTTTTCACAGACATTTTATAATAACATGTTCAAAATGGAGGTGACCATATTCATTTCTGAATCTCAGCTCTTTTCCTCTTGTATTATTTAAGGTAAATGTGTAGCAGAAGCACTACTTTCTTATTGGAAAATTCTAAGACATTCATGTCCACCTCCAAAATTCCTTACCAGAAAAATGTTCTTGTACTTTTTACATCTCCCTTGAAATCATTTCCTTGTCTATATACCGGCTCTGTAGTTCCCCCGCTTCAACATATTTTATAAGGATTTTACAAAGGTACCTTGCCTGAGTCTGCTCACCTTGCCTTCCTGCTTTCCCTCCTTGAACCACCGTTTCATGTAACAAAATGAGTGATGTATATGCCATGTCATCCCCTGAGTAAAACACCTTGATGTCTCCACATTGCCCAAATTGCTTAGTTTCTTAACCATATCTCTCACCTGTCCTTGATTTATTTTTCGTAGCAATTCCAGATAAACAACTTACTGTTTCTCTGGTAAATTCTGTGGTTTATGATCTTTGATGCCTTTCTTTACTGAGCACTTCCCTGGAATATTAATGCCAACCCTCTCTCTGCTTTGCAAGTTCTCTCCTCGGTTGCACCTTTTACAATAATCTTTTTGAGCCTCTCCTCCCTATTCTCTTTGTTCACTAGATGTGTTTATAGAAACTCATGCATATCTCTATTACTACAATTATCACAGTATGTGACTTCTATTTTTAGATGTATATTTCTACCAATCTAAGTAAACAATCATTTTTTATACTCCTGGTGTCTACTAACATGCATATAGTAGGAGCTCAGAAAACATTCTTGAATTTTTGTCTGTTGGAGTAAATGATTGTCCTGAAGCCCTCAATAGACATTTATTTAACTAATGTAAATGTCAACCAAGGATTATCGGAAAGGGACCATTAATATTGCTCTCTTAGGGCCGGGGATTTAGCTCAGTGGTTCCGCCGCCTGCCTTGGAAGCGGAAGGACCCGAGTTCGATCGCCGGTACAAAAAAATATATATATATATTGCTCTCTTAAATTCTTGTACATGTAATTGATTTAAAATTTTTGATTTGGAGAGTGTCAGGCACGATGCAAAAGTATAAATAGACTATCAACATTTTAGAAAGATAGGTTCTTTCTTGCCTACACAGGTACATACATTGTAATATCAAGCATACATTTATCAGTAATAATTTGAAGTTCTGTCTTCTCAGTTTAATTTAGTTTAATGATGTGTTGCCACAGATTCAATTTCCAATGATATTGTTCTTCACGGAAACAAAATGATTGGTTTTTCCTAGAGTCATATGATTTGAACTGCTATTATGTATTTGTAGATAATCAGGTAGTCTTGTTCCCGTATTTTTTATTACTGCAAGGGAATGTGTGCACTTTATTATCTTGATTAGACTTAGAAGTTCAATCTCCAAAGCAATTAGAATTTTACAGGTTATTTCACAGGACAATCCTCTTATTAAAAATTGGCATAATTAGATCAGTCACTGATTTTCTATACACTTACACCTATGCCATGAAATGTATCTAATGAATCACTAGTAGAAAAACCATTCAGCAATATAATACTAACATAAAATGGAATTGAATACTACAAAATAGGGAATAGAATTATGTAACACATGTATAATTAAGTTTTCACTACATTTTAGTGATATTAATAGTATTTGTATATGGTGTGTATCTACAATTGTATTATTAACTCCACTGAAATAGTTTTGTGGCCTACTGTCTTTAGCTATGATGGACACTTATATTTACCAAAAATTCTATGATATCTTTACAGGTAAGTCTCACATACAAACCAAGCCTTAGTTCCCTGTATGAAACAAAATTACTTGTTTAAAGATATTTGATCTGACCATCAAAGTAATAAATTAATGAGTTAAAGTAATAAATAAATAAGTTAATGTCATTAACTTAAAGAGACATGTTTTGTTAAAGGTAAAATTATAAAATTCTACAAAGTTCAAATAGATAAATTGAGAATGGGTTATCCAGTTCCATTATTACAAAAATCTACATAATTTTTCTTCAGGGACTAAAATATATGCATGTGATTTTATATAAATGAGTTAGAGTTCCTCCAGCAAAATTAATTGAACTTTGAGATAATACGCAAAAATACTCCTTGGTAGGTGTTAATTAATAATGGAAATGGACATTTCTCTTTTTAAGAGAGATTTCAGAACTATAGAGAAAGTTAATCAAGTGATTTTTATGATGTTCATATCACAGAATTTTTGAGTACTCATATTTACTACTTGCTTAAGATTCACCTTTAATGTCATGCTCATACACAGCAATCTATGAGCAGAAGTGATTTCTTTTCTTACCTGAAATGAAGTAATAGGATATATATTAACATGAGCCTCATTCCATCGTTGTCCTTTATTACCACTTGAAGACCACAGCGGATTCTCTATTGTTGTTTGCCCTTTCAAACGTAGATATACATTTAAAACACCTGAAAATAACAACGAAATTTTATTTTGTATACTTTTCTCCATTTCTGTTTCTCCTTGACAAGAAGCACTTCAAACACTTTTAGGTAAAATTTTGCAGAACATTCTGGTGCTCATCTTTTTTCCTATCATGCTTTCATGATATGATCCAAAGATACCCACGTACTTGTTCTTAGAACCTATGTCACCTTATGTTGTAAAAAGGAATTTTCAGGGAGCAATTAAGAACTTTGAGATAGAATAATTCTTCTTTTCTGATTGGGTTCTAAGGGCAAGCATACAGATAAAACAGATAAAGAAAAGTATAGGAGGGAAAGCCATGTCAGGGAAGAAGTAATCTGCTTTTGAAGATGGAAGCCGGGTCCACAAGTCAAAAAATCCAGGCAGCCCCAAGAAGCGGATTTTCCCCTGGAGCCTTCAGAAGGAAACAACCCTGTCTTGATTTCAGCCTCATGATACCTATTTTGAATTTATTTCTCCTAGAGCTACAAGAGAATATATTTTTGCAGTTTTAAGCCACACACTATGCAGTCATTTGCTACAGCAACAAAGAAAAACAAATATAGCATATAATCATGTGCTAAGTGACTTGGTCAGAGTTTGATCCCAATTGTTTTGACCAGATTTATCACTGAGCACCATTTTTGTTTTTTGCAAATTATAGAAGCAACCACGTTCCAGTCTTATGACTAGTTTGTTAACTGAATTGGTCACTAAATGAGGAACTGGCTATAGTATGAACATTACAATATTCAGAACAAAGGCATGGTCATAGGAAGATCCAACTTAATCACTTTGCTCATATTTCCATAACTCTTACATGTAGTACTGTATAACAGAATATAAAACTACAGCACTATACAGTACAGAACAATCGGCAAATGTTACAGCACTGTGCACTGAGTCTCTATCAACAAGATGTACAGAACTGAGCCAAAAAAGATGGGGAGTAAGTCTGAGTAGTCGTAAGTCAGAGCAGTTGCTAAAAGCGTAAGTTGTTAAGAGAGGAATATCTATAATTTGTATCCAAGTCTCATTTTTCTTCCAAAAGAATTATTTGAACATAAAGCATTTGTTGCATCTCTTGGAATGTTTTCATGTAATGTATTTCAAATAATAGTTGTGAAGATAAAAAATTATTGCAGTACATGAGGATCACTTACTCTAGGTAATAAATTAATCCCCGAACAATCCTATATTTATTATTATTATCTTTCCACATTTTAGATGGCAAAATGTAGAAGGGTTAAGTAATGTGCCCTACTTTATAGCAGAGGCAGAGTTTGAACTCGAGTTTCAGTTTTACATCTTAATCACTATGAAATCAATATTTTAATAGATGAAATGTTTAATATCTCAATTATTGTGATATATTTTGATTTTCTGGAAACTTCATTGACCTCTCCCCCTGTCCCTCTCCTCTCCCATTCCCTCTCCTCTCTCTCTTTCCATCCATTCATCCTCTTAACTCTTTTTTTAGTAATAGAAAGTAATTCTGTAATGTTTATGAAAGTGGATTTTTTTGTTTTGTTTTGATTTTTTGGTTTTTTGGTACCGGGGATAGAACTCGGGTCCTTGCGCTTGCACAGCAGGCAGTGAAACCACTGAGCTAAATCCCCAGCCCCAATTGTGTAATGTTTATGCCAAACCACTTTTGTGGCTTCTTTTGTACCACTTTATATGGAAATTTTATTTTTCTTGCATAACGTTATCTACTGTTTTGATTGAACCAAGGAAATTGATGCTATCATCAAATCTGTAAATGCATATTTTACTTAAACATTAATACCGTGACAATTTTAAACCTATTAAATGATATAGTAGTTGTAATTCACTAACAAAATAAAAATACTACGTATTTTTCCAACTTTACTTAAAGAAATAAAAATATGCTTTAATGAAACATTAATATATTTGACTTATTATATCAATAATTATTTGGTATTAGGTCAGTACATATTTAATAGGTTATTTTCTCTGTCAGCATATATACTTTGCCTATGACCATATTTACATTTCTTAATTGACATTTTTATACATATATAATATAAAATCAAACTTAAGTTATTTAAATCTGTGTTCCTTGAATATATACTATATGAAAAATATTTTGCCTAAGTCTAAAGAAGCCAGGTCTGAATTATCTCAGAGCTAAAATTGAGTTTTGGAATAAAAGAAATAAGCTGTATTTAATTGTGACTAGATTATTTTTAAAAGGCAAATATTACTTGTTTTATTAGAAAAAGATTATAGTTGATTGAAGTAAAGCTTCCAGATATAATTTAAATGTTTTATTATGTACATAGTAATCATTTTATTACCTCAATCAATGATATAAGTTAATCACTGGTGTATTTTTGAAGTGAGGATAAAACCCATATTAATAGGCAAATATCTTTGAAATGTTTCCCCAACATTTCTTGTTCTCAAGTTTACAGAAAATAATTCTGTGTCAAAAGATATTTAAAGTTAGGTCATCTTGGTCAATAAAATTAGAACTTGTGAAACAAAATAAAGATATTCAATAAAAGTTTGAGTCAGCAAAGCTGATTCAGCACATTATCAGGATATTATAGTAAAAAAATTCCAAAGTGAATATGATGGATGTGTTAATACCCTTTAAAAGTAATTTTAAACCCTCAGAGACACTATGTTTACGGTTTACTAGGCACCAGATACCAAAGTATGCAAACTTGATCATCCCTGAGGATTTTCTAATGCTATTCAGCTCTAAGATAAAAATTGGAAGTGGCTAAGAAAAACTGTTGTTTTCTTTTTTCTTGGTGCCTAATCTTCATCTTTGATCACTTCTCTCCACGTATCCAGTGTTGTAGCTAGAGAAGATGTTGCTCTTCTTTTATGTTTAAATATTGTTGTCCAAAAGCTAAATAACCTAAGTGTTCCTTCATATAATGAGTAATGACCACATTTGGGGGTTATAAATAGCATTGTGCAATAATGTGATTCTTATTTTTAACATTTCATATAAATTACTGTGTAAAATATAATTTATATAAACATCATTACTGTTATCTTCTTTTTATCTATTATTAAATCCTTATCATAATTTTGTTTTCAATTATTTTTCTCTAATATGAATTGTGTATATTTTAGATAAATAATTTAAGTATATGTCCTAAAATGTGCACACACATTTTCAACAGATACATGGAATTGTCAAGTTCACATGAATTAATTTATTATCTGGTTTCTTCTAAAGTCTGAAGATCACTTGCATATAAATTATGTTTTTGTTATAATCACTAACATAGACTCATTAATTTGCCTTTTACGACTCATGAAAGATGAGGATGTGCCAAAATTACCCAGCTCCAAGCAAGATCTATGTATATTGATAGGAAATTGTTAGCATTATTTGTTTCATACACAAATACAAAGTGGGGAATCATAAAATGATTATTTTCTGCTTGAATAGAAACGGCTGTCTGCACCCACTGATATTATTTTTTGCAATATATAATTGTAATAATGTCTTTTAAAACGTCACTTCATTTTTTCCAGTCATTACTATGCCTTCTGGTAACCAGTTGAATTTGTGCATTAGCATCCAGCAGATTTTCCTAAAATAGCACCTTCATTTGGGCTATTTTGCTATGTGACAGCTGCCTCACATAGACCTTTTAACTCTGATCCTATCAGTATTCTACATTCTCATACATTGGCTCCTTCTATTTCTCACAATCTCCGATCTTTGTCTTCCACTTCCTCCTTAATTAATCCAACTCTTGCTAAATAATAACCAGATATCTTATCAGTTGAATTTAATAAGAAGTTAACTACAGGTTTCTTATATTCTATTTTCATATTAAGGTAGATCATCATATGATCACATGTGTTGACCATGATACTTCAGCTCAAAACACAATTTGTTATGCATTGTGGTTTATCAATATATGAACATTTTATTTGAACAAGTTAAATATTTTTCTAAAAGAACTACGAAAAGGTACTGTCCATTACATACTCAAGGGTCATTTTGTACCACACATTTCTCTGACTTATTTGCTAAGAAATATGTGACATTTTTGTCAAACTGTTTGCTTTTTTTCAAATATTTTGCTTTTATTGCTAGAGCATGAAGATACAAATTGAATTTAATTCAAAAAATTTGTCTTATTTTTACAAGCTATTGAGTCTTCATGAAACTATCTTCCATTATCAATCTAAACTTTATACTTTCAATTCCCTTACTCTGTTACTCTTATAGGATATACAGAAACAAAATATCTAACGTCCTTTTAAAAAATCTATTGCACTTTTGTTGCTCTTGACAGTCAAATATAAATAAATCATGGTTACTACTCTCAAGGAGAGTACAATATAATAGGGTTCCATGTGACAAATATATTTGCATCAGGAGTTATGAGAACAAAAACAACAAGGAAAACAGCAATAATCTCAGAATATGTCCTTTAGTTATATCTTGGAAAAATATGAATTACATAAATGATTAAAAAGGAGAAGTACATATTCTATATCATAATTTAAAAAATATATTCATTTTAAACAAGTAACGATTGAGTGTTCAAATAAATATATGCAAGGCACCAAGCCAAGAGAAGAAACATTGTTGCTGCTCCCATCAAGCATACAGTTCAGCAGGATAAAGAATACAGCATCTGAAGAGGCCCCACGTTCAAGAGCACTTGATTGAACAACTTCAAGTATGACTCGAAAAGACAATAGAGCTATTCTGAGGAGAAGCCAAAGGAGACTACATTCTTGAGGCCATATGTTACTAGTATTAGAATAATGTTTACTCTAGAATTGTGCACTAAAGAGACAGCAAGGAAATGAATTAGTAGGCTATTTCCGTACTCTATGCAAGAAGTGATGGGGACTCAAATTGAACATTAAATCCTAAAACACACTTCAGAGCCCTGAGAACCAAGGTCTTTATCCCCAACCTGCTCAACTGTCTCTCTAGTGCTGAGCAGCTTGTGTTCCCATTTGCTACTCTCCTGAAGCTTTTAACATGCAC